CTATAGAGATAAGCCCTCGTTAAGATATTCTAAAATCAGTCCACGTGCCACTTTCCAATTCTGGGATCCCGGCCTTTCTGACCGAATGCAACACAGTCTCCTCACTCCGGCCACCTGTGAGAAGGCTACAGATGGCAGAACATTTTCTGCTTCCCTAAATATTAGCTCATTTAAGATCTCTCTGTCTTAAGAGCAGGTCCCCGCTTAAAAACAAACCAGAAAAATCCGCTAGATTACTATCTCTCGCATATTTGTTTATTGAAGAGCAAAGCGCAGTACTAGCATGTGGGTTAGAAAGTAAGGTTACATTTATTTTGCACTGTGGAAGCCCTGCAACGAATCAGCCAGCAGATTCCACTCCCATGGCTTCACACGAGGAAGAAGGTACGTGTCGCCACTCTCTCTGGAAAAGCTCGACAACCAGGATTTACCAGAAGCCCTAGTGTAACTGCCTGCCAATGCCAGTCATCTGGGCCACTGTCAAAGACGGAAAGTAAACTACGCAAGTCACATGGGTCACAAAATTAATAAAAGAAAAATCAGAAGTTTACTTAAGCTTCCTAAAACATAGAGAGCATCACACTTTCAAGTTTCACGGTGATTAGTTTAACACCATTTGCCTGTTAAAACTGTCACTTAAAATATACATGTCAAAGTGCTTCAAATGCAGCATACTAATTAAAATTCCTCTTGGAAGGTTCCAGTACCGGCAGCTAATTTAGGAAGGTTATTCACCCACAGGGTGTTCAAGAAAGGGCATGCTGCCTTACAAAGACACTTGAGAAGAAAAAGAAAATTCTAACTGGACTTCACAAATCTCCCACAGAGTGCTCAACCAAGTCCAGAACTGCTAAAGGCCACTCTGAACATAGGAATCAACGCAACCAAAGATTTCTGTATTTATTTTTGGCCTTTCTGGGGACCCACAGCCAAAAGTTCTAGCCCATCGGCTTCATTCTGTTGCCTCCAGCACATTCCCAGTCCTAGACCAGCAAAGAGATCTAAGGCAATCAAGGAGATTGGAATGTGGCAATATCTAGGCGCTACAGAGCAAGTTGGCGCCTCTGTCCTCGGTGGTGGCAAGTTCAAAGGAAGCCCAGAAGAAGAATGAGAGGAAGAGTCACACACAGGCTTCTAGTTAGAATAGAAAGGGGAAATGGAGCCTTTGACTCAAACACCTTCAGTTTACCTTTTTATTTTCCACAGGTGATAGAATCAAAGTCTACTTTGGCAAGCAAGGTACATTCCAAAGGGTTTTCAACGGACTACGAAATAAATTCTTGGAAAACTGAGCATTTAGGAAACTTGCAAATTCACATTTGAATTTGAAATTAGTGGCGGAATGACGATTTAAATTGAAATGTGAGAAGTTTAAATTCTGTGTTGCACTAGGATCACTGGGCACTAAGGTGACCCCTTTTTCTCCTTAAAGTGGACCCGATGCCTGCTTTTTCTCTTGCATGTTCCCCCAGAGCCCAGACTCCGGGTCATGATCAATACTCTTTTGGTACCTACTTAGAATGTGGGCAACCCGAGACGTACACTCCTCTTCCCCAAACCTCCACTAAAATAAGTGACATGTTGGTAGTAGTGCAAGTACATTCTAGACTAATCAGCACGGAGCTTTTTTAAAATTAGAAGTAAGAGCATTTTAAGCACGGTGCGATTCAAATGCCAAGGATGATTTTGCTGTTTGTGTATTACCCGGTTGTGTGCATCGGTTGTGTGCGAATGGAGGAGCGCTGCCGTAACCCGCGACAATTTTAAACTGTGCGATGCACTGACGGTCACGAATGTTAGTAAAGGACTGGGAAAGACGGCAATAACATACTCTAGTCAGGTAAAGATTTTTCTATCCCATGCTCCCCTCAAATGTGGGGGAATTAATTTCTGTCAAGCACCAAAGGGCAGGTTTCATACCATAACCTGACAAGAAACTTCTCACAGGTCTGGGTAACTCTGGTCAGCAGAGACACAAAGGAAACCTCCGGCCTGGCTAAGGCACTCTACTCTGAAATGGACAGAAAACATGCATGTGTGGCCAACCACGCCATTGCTCCCCTAAAGGCAGCTCAGCGTATGCTGGGAGAAAGGCTGGGGTGGTCCACTCACCCCCAAAGTATCATGCAGAAGCCTGAAAGATCTTGTATATTTATATTTATACTTTGGAAATGCGGTGGTAATTGGCATGACACAAACGCTCAGAGCTATCTGTAATGAAGTCCTGCTTCAGCTGCTGTATCACTACGTAACAAATGGGGCTTTCGAGATGCACTTCAAGATGGCAGACGGAACCAAGAAAACGTCAGCAGTATACTAACGATGCACAAGTCCACAGTATTCTGAAACACTCAGTTTCACTTTTATCTTGCTGACGGCCACCTTTCTTTCATCTAACGGTACCAATGAAACTATGGCATAATTCTTTACCGCTGTAGGGAAATATACAGTACAGGCACAAATAATTTCAAATAAACTTAATGCAGCAGAAAGAGAACAGAACACACTTTGAGGTAAAACAGCCCCAGAAGTACAGGACACGACCCCATGCCAGAAAGGGTGTGTGTGTGTGTGTGTGTGTGTGTGTGTGTGTGTATAACTATACTGTACAAGGTGAAGAAAGCCTGTGGTCCAAATTTGTCATTTAATAAATATTTATCAGTTCTTTCCTTATATAATACAGATTACTCTCATTCTGTGTACAAGGTCAACAAAATAGTAAAATGATTAGCTCAGAAACCTTTGAATGAAGCTTTGTTCCCGGCCCAAAATAACACTTGATCCAGTTCAATTTTGCAGATGACAAAGAACAAGGTATACAAAAAATAGAGTTACCGTTACTTAATTCATTCATTCTCTGACCTCCATGATGGCAAGTTACTAACAAACATGGAATCACTACCCACATTTTCCTGCATCAATTTCTCACCTATTTTCAGTCTCAGAAAAAGTCACCAGATATACCTCAACCTTTACGAGCCGTTTTTAAAAATGAGTACAGAACCATGAGTTAGCTCCTTGACTCCTCATTTCTAAGACACTGGATGACAATGATTAGAATTTACAAATTTAAAAACTGAAATATCAATTATAGTTATTTTTACAAAGCAGCAGACTGAAATTTAAAAAGGAATACATTATAATTAAATTTAACGATGGTCACATTCATAGATAAATAATGGTAAAAAATTTAATTACATATCAACACAGTGGTGCCAGTTTTATCCAAGTGCAATCCATCCAAAAAAAAAAAGGGTTTAAGATACACTCTTCATTCAAGCACAAACTTCATTCAGTGGAAAATAAAGGAAAATCAGCAAGTAAATATCACCACCACCAAACTACACGGAGACAAAGTCAAAAAGAAAGTCATGAGAAGGTGTCATGTAAAAAACAACCACATTGAAGTCAAAGGGATTTTTACCTCTGTCAGTAAACCTCAAAAATTATTCCAAGTCATTTTAAAGAGAGTAGATACTAAGTAAGGCATATATCTCAAAAGTTTTCTTCAACTGGGGAAGTGGAAAAGTGGGCAAGTTGGGGAAGAAAGAATGTCTACTTCCTTATCCTGTATGAAATAAAAACACAGCACTCTCTCCTCCACAAAAAAGAGACAGGACGATCGAACGGAAGAACAAATTGAATCAGGAAACTAATTTCAGAGTGAGGTTCATAGCAGTAATTCATAGGGAGGTTCGTGAGATTCCTAACTCCAAGGTAAATTTCTCTTATAAGGAAGTTTATCTGTGTTCCTTACGAGTAATTATCACAGGACTGGGACTGTCACATGCATTCATATAATCATAGTTCGCAGGCACCAAATCTCACCAACTTGCCGCTGAGGGGGAAAATACCACATTTAAACGATGAACCATGTTAATGTGTGAGCTACAATTATGATCCATTCTCTACTAAGTCTCAGTAGAATATTTCTCTTTAAAAGAAAATTAAACCGGGGGCGCCCGGGTGGTGCAGTCGGTTAAGCGTCTGACT